TCAGCACTCCAAGACATTAGAATGGTATCAAAAGGCTATTCAACTAGTGGAAATAAAGGAAAGCTTATCCAAAAAAGCTAGTCAGAGGAAATATTTTAAAGTCTTTAAGTTTTAATTACATAGTATGGCTGAAACTGTTTCCCCAAAATGTTAAGCACAAACACAAACTAATCAGGGAACTCTATTTGAATCAACCCATTTTAGACATGAGAGGATTATTATAGATTATTATAAATTTTATTAGGCTTAATAACAGCACTGTAATTAGTAAAAAAAAAAACACGTATATAGAGATATATATACGGAACTATACAAGGGTAAAAATCACAGATGTTTAAGATTTGCCTTAAAATAGTGCAGCAAAGAGAAAAGGGATGAAAAAGAGGGGTAGATAAAGCAAAAGTAGCAAAAAATAATTTTTAAACTAGGCAGCATATGGGATTAATTATACCACATTTGTATCTGAATATGCTTGAAATTTTTTATAATAAATTCTTCAGTCAACTATACAAACCATTATGTAAATGTGCTTATGTGTGTGTGAGTGTGTGTTTGAGAGAGAGAGTGAGAGTGAGAGAGAGAGAGAGAGAATATGATAAAATATTACTAGTAAGTATTATCTCTGGTTTGTGGGATGGAAGAGATTTTGTATTTTTTTCCTTTGTAATTTTCAGTGTTTTCTAATTTTTCTAAAATAAGCATATATTACTTGTATTATTACAAATCTATTAAGACTATCACTACACTATAATTCAGAAAATGTAGAAGAAATAATTTCATGAATGCATTTCTTCTAAACAATGTAGCTGCTTTTCTACTATAATATTATATGGTAAAGAAACACAATTATATTAAGAAAATGTGGTGTATCTACACAAGGGAGTTTTACTCAGACACAAAGACAAATGAAATTGTGGCATTGCCAGTAAATGGATGGAAACGGAGAATATCATGCTAAGTGAAATAAACCAGACTTAGAAAATTAAGGGTCAAATGTTTTCTCTCATATGCAGAAGCTAGAGCAAAAGAAGGGGGAAAGCAAGGGAAATGAATATCATAAAGATACAGGAAAGATCAGAGGAATAGAAGATTGAGGAGGGAGGACGGACAGGAAAGGGAAAAAAATGAGAAATGAATTTAATAAAATCACACTATGTGCATATTCTAATATAACACAGGGAATTCCACCTTTATGTATATGGAAAAAGCACCAGTCAAAAATGAATAAATAGATAAGTCAGTAAAAGGAAGATCAGTAGAGTAGAGGAAGAAAGGAGGAGGGAGAAGGGGAGGGAAAAGCAGGGGAACAGGGATTAACGTAGTAAATCAAATTCCATCCATGTATGACTTTGTCAAAATGAATCAAACTACTATGTAGAATTATAATGTGCTAATATTTTTTTTAAAGCATCATTATGGGGTCGGGGTTGTGGCTCAGTGGCAGAGTGCTGGCCTAGCAGGCGTGAGGCACTGGGTTCGATCCTCAGCACCATATAAAAATAAAATAAAGGTATTGTGTCCATCTACAACTAAAAAATAAATATTTAATAAAAAATAAAAAGCATCATTATGATTAACAGGAAAATTTTTATAGGCAAAAAAAGACTAACACTGAATAGAATTATTTTTTAGAAACTTTTTACTCAAATAAATATGCATTCATCTTAATAAAGAATGGGAGGTGGTTATTAAGCAAATACATTTTCCCAGTGTATCTTTACCAAAATGATATTCTTTTCAAAGCTTCTATTTACTTCTCATGCAGATCTCAGCTTTATAAAATAAAGATTTTCCACTCTTCTACATTCCATTACTTACACCTGGCCATAAAACTTCAAAAACTATATTTAAGCAAGATCTCTTTTCAATAAGAAGGTTACCTTGGTATTCATCCTTCAGAAAAAAAAGAATTTTTCACCCTAGGTTTAAAATGTCCACTATCGTCTCAATAACCAGAAGACTTTTTAAATGATTGTACAAGGCCTTTTCCCCATCCAGAAGAAAAATAATTGTCCTTCATTTAATTACCAGGATTTTCTTACTATCTGAAATATAATAATCTTCACAATGACAATCTCTTCTCTTTGAGGATCTACTGTAGGATCTTTATTTTGTTACAAATTCATAGACACATAGTAATTTCTGGCTAAGTAAAAAGGATATAATGTCAGCCACAAAGTCTCCTTCTCCACTCTTTACTGTGGTTAAGCCACATAAATATTTAGCTTGAAAACAAGCCAGAAGGAAGTTTGCTTTGTACCTTCTTATGATACACCTTGGTACTAATAGTTCTGAATTATAGTTTAAATGGAAAGTCGTAGACAAGTTCTACAGATTCCAACCAAAAGATCATAAAAAAAGATTCAAATTACAGGAGGTCCTGATTGTTCCTTATGGCCATTACACAAAAATCAAAAGTTTTGACTTTCCATAAAAGTTAATACTAAGATTTACCTTTAAAATTACAAGGTGAAATATAGGCAGCTGGAATAACAGAGGTAACCGAAGGAAAGAAGGAAGTGGAACTCAAGAGTGGAAATTATAATATCACCAGAACTTTCCATTCACAAGAATTCATCTGAAAGACATTCTCTCACATCTTAGTCACAGAGTCATTGTTTAAGTAAGGCACTAGATTAGCCATCACCAAGCATTTTAGATATGAAAGGCACCTCCTTGAAGAACATCCAATTATTTTCAAACTGCTTTTTAACATACTAACCGTTTTAAGTAAAATCTCTTGTAAAGATCAAATACACAAACTAGGAAAAAGCAGAACTACTATTGCAGTGATGGTGGGGAGATAAAGGGATTTAGGGACTTCTCTAGTTAATAGCCTGCTTTCCCCTCCCAATGAGACTGATCCCTAGCAATGAAACCTCTGGGGCTCTTCGGAAGAAGTTTAAAAATTAGTGTCCTGGCCGGCACCTGTAATCCCAGCATCTCAGGAGGCGGAGGCAAGAGGGTCTAGAGTTCAAAGCCAGTAATTTAGCAAGGTGCTAAGCACCTCAGTGAGACCCTGTCTCTAATAAAATATAAAACAGAGCTAGGGGTGTGGCTCAGTGATTGAGTGCCCCTGAGTTAATCGCCAATACAGCCCACCCAAAAAAAGAAAAAATCATTGTCATTCAACAGATGAATGGATAAAAATAGTGTGTTCTATATACACACTGGAGTATTTCTCAGCCTTTAAGAAGGACTTCCTGGGCTGGGATTGTAGCTCAGTGGTAAAGCACTTGCCTAGCATGTGTAAGCCACTAGACTCAATTCTCAGCACTACATAAAAATAAATAATTAAAGTTATGTTCATCTCCAACTAAAAAAATATTAAAAAAAAAAAACAGAATGACTTTATGACATTTGCTAGTAACTGATGGAAGTGGAGACTATCATACTCAGTGAAATAAGATAGTCTCAAATCCAAAGGTGAATGTTTTCCTCTGATTATGCAAAAGCTAATCCAAATAAGGTGGGAGGCAGGGTATGAAAAAAAGAATAGAAGAAAGGTAAGTGGAGTAGACAAAGGGGAATAAAGGAAAGTGAGGAGGGATGAGAAAGGGAAAGACAGTTGAATGAATCTCACATAACATTCCTATGTACAAATATGAATATACCACGGTGAATCTCACCTTCATGTGCATCCATAAGACACTAATTTTAAAAAATACATAGGTAAATAGAAGAAAAATCAGTGGAATAGAGGGAAGAGAACAGTGGAGGGAGGAGAACAGTGGAAGGGGAAGTACTGAGAGACTGAATTAGAACAAATTATATTCCATGCTTTTATAATTATTTCAAAATAAATTCTACTGTCAGTAAATTTGTGAGCCTAGAAAAAGATACAGTCAAGTATACAAAAGGTTGATAATATCAGTTATCTTTCTTTTGCGGGCAGGGGGTGGGCAGGATGAGAGGTAGGACACCAAAGACTGGAAGAAAAATAGACATGGTATGGTGCAAATAAAGATATCATTACATCTATAAATTACTGCACATCTATCAAAGGAAACATATACAACTGGGCTACGAATATAGTTCAGTGATAGAGTGCTCAGGCAACATATGCACTCCAAAATCCCCAACAATGAAAAAGAAAAAAAAAATTTACACCCAACATGTATATAACCAAGTGCCAGGTGGTGATATGAAAAAAATAAAAACAGTTTAAAATGGATTTGATGAAATCATAGACAATTTCTGTTATTTTGATACTAGCTTCTGTAATAAAGTAATGCATTTTTAAAAGAAAAGAAAATTATTAATCCAATCAGCTCAATCACAAATGAGGAAATGAAGCCAAGATTGGACAAAATCAAGGGCCTTGGCTACAATGTTTAGTCAACCTTTTACTTTTCTGAGAATAGTAGATTACATCCACAGCTCTTAACTCTACCTTTTGTATTTTGCTATTCTCAAAAGAATGTGTGTTAAATCCCCAAGCAGAAGAGCCACTGCACTCCACAACTCCAAGAGATGACTTTCCCAGGTGACCCACCTAGGTAGAGAAAGGGCAAAGACCAGACCAAGGTTGGATTAAAAGACAGAAAGGGCATAATGTAATGTTCAGGAAAAAGGGAATTATTTGGTTCAGTTAAATGTGTGGGAGTAGGAATAGGGAGAAACAGGGAAGAAAATGGGATTGAAAATACAGGCTAGGGACAAGTTAGGGAAGATTTTCAGATTAAACCAAATTAAATTGAAATGTTTTTTTTCCCCCCCAGAGGAAAAAAGACAGTGGAGGTATAGAAATTGAGAAACCTAAGATTCTTTTGAGGCACTTTAAGACTTAAATGAGAAGAACCTTGAATGGGACATAAGAAATGAAAATGGAATACAAGGACCAGCAATGAGAGATGTTGCTGATATCCTGGCAAGATTATTTGGCACTTTGGTCAGTCCCCTGGTTTAAGGTAGTATGAGAGTTAAAATGTTAGTTACATGATCCAGCTACTTTAACAATTTTAGTATGTCTCTAATAACAAGTAAGATATGCTCAGTACCTTCACTTTCCCAGGCGTGGAGCTGATCTTGATCCCTGGTAGCACTGCCCAACACTTCTCGGGGAACAGGCTCCATTCGTGCATCCACTTTCTCTTGGTGAGAGGACTCGTTAAATCCTTCAATAGCCTTTTGGAAAAATAAGTTCAACTCCTCAAAGTTCATGGCCTGGAGTTCAGCATAAAGTTCTACCTGTTGGGTTTCTTCCAATTCATTCCAGAACTGTAGCAGGTGTTCTTGCCCAGCTCTGGACAACCTGAGTTTGAGGTCATTAACATTCATAATGCTCTGGTAGCCAACCTCTGTGAAAACAGGGGTATAATTTTTGCAACTGCAAGCCTAAAAAAGAAAAGAGATGAACAGCAGGTCAAAGTCCAACCTTCAAACCTAAGGGTTTTTTTCCCTACTAAATTAAGTACAGGTATGCACTGTATACCGATGTTTTGGTCAACGACAGACTGATATGACAGTGGTGCCAAAGATTATATCACCTAATGACATCACTGCCATCTTCATGTAAGTACACTCCTTGATGTTCACACAATGACGAAATAGGCTAACAACACAATTCTCAGAAATGAATTCACATCATTAAACTACACATATCTATAATTTAAAGAAACCTGATATTAAGAAAATTAATTTCTGTCCTTCTGTAGCTCAATATTTGTAAGGGAACAAACATGTAAAAGAACAATAATTAGCACTATGTACCAGACATAAAGTACTTAACCTACATGGTCTCACTTAATTTTCAACAACTCCGTGGCCCACATACTATTGTTATCACTATTTACAGTACAGGAGACTGAAAAGACTAAGGCACAGAAAGGATAAGCAACCTAGCGAGCTGGTGGAATGGGATGTGAACCTGAGCAGTCTGATTCCAAGGGCTCACACTCTGCCACATTTAAGTCTTTGAACTATTCCTCTGACCACTAAGCTACCAGTTAACACGTGAGCTATTCTCCTTTTAACTCTAATGATAAAAATAACTGTTGTTGCATTCAGAATACAGCAATCTTCAAGAATAGAGAACTACTTATGATCATAAAAAATACATTTCAATTCAATAGTCACTTCTGCAGAGAAGCAAAGAAAATATGTCCATTATCTCTATTCACTAAAAACTTGAATCCAGATTCAAGAGACACACATAACAATTAGAGAAAGAGACAATTTTTATTTTTAGAGTATTCTGTGACCAAATTCAGGTCAAAAGAACCTACAAGTATGTCCTCTGAGGTGTAATAATACAGCATGCACAGCCTTTCCAACAAGGGAAGATCAATGAGTGCAGTATTGCCCACCTGTAGACAGGGACATAAAAAGTCAAAACAGAAGCTGTAGCCCCAGAAGACCACAGGCACCCTGGAAACCCAGTTCATCTGCACCTTCTTCAACCATAAGAAGTCTCAGGATATGAAAATGGACCATACTCCAACCCTGAGGTTATCTCTTGTCCCATGTACTTAGGGGAATTCCAGATGCCCATCACATATCAGATTTTAGAATAAAACAGAAGTGACTTGCATTCTAGGCTCTGCTGCCTAAATCAAATTAAAAAATGTTTTCGACTTTGGTATCTTCATCTATTAAGTGAGAATAATAAAAATTTCTTCACAAATTCAGAGACATAACTTGAATAATCCTTACAAACACAAAATGAAACACAAATAACTTAAATAATTTGCCCAAGATTTTATAACTAGTGGGTAGAAAAACAGGAATTTAACACCGATCTACCTTACTCTAAAAATCTATGCTCTTTCCACAATAAATCTTTCATAAAAGTAGAGGAAATACTGCCAGGTGTGGTGGTGCAAGCCTGTAATCCCAACAGCTTTGGAGGCTGAGGCAGGATGAGTGCAAGTTCAAAGCCAGCCTCAGCAACTTAGCAAGACCCTATCTCAAAAATAAAAAGGGTGAATGGGCTGGGGAATGTAGCTCAGTTGGTAGAGTATTTGCCTTGCATGCACAGGGCCCTCGGTTCAATCCCCAGCTCCACCAACAAAATAAAAATAAAATAAAATAAAAGGGTGAAGATATAGCTCAGTGGTTAAGCATACATGGGTTCAATCCCCAGTATCACATATATACACAAAATCAGAGGAAATACTGAGCACTCAACACAAAACCTCATAAAAAACAGAAGCACTAGGAAGTAAATGTATCCAAGGAACAGAGTTGGGATATGGGTATCAATATTTGATAATTCTACTTTGTCATGTGTTGTCTAACACCTTGGATATGTCCTGAGAACATAGGACATATGGTAGGTGTTCATCATTGTGTGAACCTCATACAGTGTCTTTAAACAAACCTAAATGATATAGGTCAATAACTGAACATGGTCTCTTGATGTAATCAAGACACAATAAACACAAGGTGTATGAGGCTTCTGGTGGTGTAATACACATACTGTCTTAGATTTTATGAGTAGAAGTGCACTATATAAAAAGTATAGCATAGTAAATAAACCAATAACAGTCATTTATTATTATCAAGATTTATGTATTGTACATAATTGAATGTGTTATAATTTTACTAGACAATGGAATACTAGGTTTGTTTATACCCAACATCACCACAAATATGTAATGTGATGAGCTACATTATGAGGACAATGATGTCATTAGGCAGGATAGGAAATTTTCAGTTTCATCATGATCTGTGAGACTACCATGGTAGATGTGGTTCCACCATGGACTGAGACATTGTTATGTGGCACATAACTGTATTTCTATTTTGTGGCTGTGGGTCCAACAACCCATTCTCTTACGTGAATAGGTTATTCCTCAAAGTTTTCCCTTAATGAAAATACGTTATTAAATTATTTAAGAAGAAAAATTAATGTTCGTATGCCATTTTTTATTATTTATTTATTTATTTTTTTTTTTAGTATTGAAGACTGAATCCAGGGGTGTTTTACCACTGAACTATATGCCTAGCCCTTTTTTAAAATTTTTATTTATTTTATTAATTTTAGTTGTTGGACTTTTTTTATTTATTTATATGTGGTACTGAGAATCAAACCCAGTGCCTCACACATTTGAGGCAAGCACACTACCACTGAGCCACAACCCCAGCCCCTATGTCTATCCATTTTAATCTTTTTTTTTATTATTTTTAAATTTTAAGACAGGGTCTTCCTAGGTTGCCCAAGCTGGCCTTGAATTTTCCATCCTCCTGCCTGAACCTCCTGAGTCACTGGGATTATAGGCATGCACCACAAGGACCAGCTCACTCACCAAATATTTAATGAGCACTGACTTCTACATTATCTGGGTGATTGGCAAACACAAAGAAGAAAGCGACAATTAATATGCTCACATTTCCATGTAGGAGACAAACATAAAATTATCATATAAAATTATTCTTATCTCATAAGAATAATGAAGAAAAATAAAGTGAGAGAAGGAGCTAAAAAGCAATAAGGATGATGGCGGTTATTTCATATCAATGGTCAGGTAGAGCCTCTATAGAGCTAACATTTGAGAAAACATTCAAATAAAGAGGGAACAATTTTTTTTTAATATTTATTTTTTAGTTTTCGGCAGACACAACATCTTTGTTTGTATGTGGTGCTGAGGATTGAACCTGGGACGCATGCAATGCCAGGCGAGCGCGCTACCGATTGAGTCACATCCCCAGCCCAAGAGGGAACAATTTAATAACTTGGGAAGGAGCATTCTAAGTAGAGAATTTCAAGTGAAGTGACCCACTTAATATGTTCACAGAAAAGTAAAAAAGGTCCATGTAGCTGGTGCACAGTGACAGAACCAAAAAATGATTGGAAGTAAGGCTGGAGATCTAATTAAAGGGCAGAATGAATGAGGTTTTGTGGTTACAGTAAGAACTTTGGGAAGCCCACTGGAGAATGTCAAAGAAGGAAATACCATGGTCTGTCTCAGGTTTTAAAAAGATCATTTGTTGTTGTGTGAAGGGAGGGGGAAAAAAGGATTGTGACAAAGGAAAAAAAATGGAAGGAGAGAGACTAGTTAGGACATTAATCCTGTAGAGGACATGAGAGATGATGATGCCTTAGAGTGGTGGTGAAAGTGGGCCAGCAGGATTAAGTAATGGATTGAACGTGTAGTAAGAAATCAAGCAAAGATGACTCTACCTTATGGTGCCATTTACTGAAGACAAACCCTAAGATAGGAGCAGATACAGGGATAAGTATAGCGAGTGGGAAGAATCAATACTTCACTTTTGGTCATATTAAGTTTGATATTAGACTTCAGAGGAAATACTAGAGCTAAAGCTAAAACTTTCAAGGTCATCAGCATACATGATCTTCAGTTATGGGTTAAATGAGATCCCCAAGGAAGTGCAGGTAATTATAAAGCAAATTCAGGAGACTGAGCCGTGGACACTTACTAGAATATTCAAAGACATTTCTACTGATTAATAATACTGCTATTATTTTTATGTTTAAAAACATCATATTAAAAAATAGTTGAAAAGAATGAATTTATATCAAATTATTTTCCAAGCTATGGCTCCTACGGTCTCATTTATACTATCACTATTGCTCAGATTCAAGGTAGTACATTGTAGTGGGAAGATCAGCAGGTAAACGGTAACAGAAGAATAGGAAGTTCTCTTTCTTTACCTATCATTTCACTTTCCTGTGTATGTATGTATGTGTGTGTGTATATATATATATATATATATATATATATATATATATATCTCCTTATGAAGATAAGATCATCAACCCCAAGAGTCATGAGTAGAGTAGGCTTACTCTGCTAAAAAATATATACAAACCTACTATTATAACAATGAAAATTATAAATCAAAATTTTCCTAAAAAATCATTAGATACTCATTCATACAAATATAACAATTCACAAGTTAAGTTTTGATATCTGGGCCCAGAACACTGGCAATCTACAAAAGTTAACAAGGTCACATGTGCACATTTACACATAACTATGCTTAAGTTCTGGACAAACAATTCATCTAAGATGTTTACCTGAAGTAAATAACCACCTCCCTCATATCACTATAGTACACTTCCCACCAGTACTGGTTAGAGGAGTATATATGTGTGTATGATGATAAACAGCAATGAGGAAGATAGTTTTTAAAAGACAAGATTTAAAAAAAAAAAAAGACAAGATTTTTATTCTGACAAACAAAATCTGAAAAAGTTGAAAATCTGCTCTAGAAATTGTGATGAAGCTTGGTACATGCCCATAGCCTAATGCATCTGTATGAAAACAAATGACAAATAGGTAAGAAAGCACCATTATCAAATATACCTTTATTGCAATGTAAATACCAGTATATTAAAGAAATCCAGTATTTCCTCTTCCTTTTCTTATCTCTTTTTTTGTCCCTATCTCTGCTTTGAGGGCTATAAGTATACACTCATTATGGATAACTAAACCTCTTTAGAGCTTTTTGAAAAATAGTGTTGAGGTTGACCATAACCACTGACTGAACCCTGTAACTGCTTGGCAGCACGGCCCATGAAGTCTTTTGTAGCCCCAGTTAAGGGAGCCAACTGACTAATAATGTAAGAACAGACAACTGCCTTCAATTTCCTGCAAACCCTTGGGTCCACACCCAGTTGCTTTCACCTCAAAGTCTTTAAACTTTAACTCTACATAAGTACATATACATATTATAATCACTACCACCTGATTTCAGATTTCATGAACCAGGGACAAATAAATATAGTACAGCGAGCGGGCATACTTGATAAAATCTTCAAGAAGCCATCTGTTCAGCAAATATGTGGTCTCTTAGCTCTCCAATCCCATTCTGCCTGGCCAAGCGAGGGGAAACCCAGAAATTTCAACCTTCTCCCACCACCAATATTAAGACAAAAATAAATAGTGGCAAGCAAGTTTGGTCATATTGTCATGTCCGCAGCAGGTATATCCTGTCCTTGTCAAAGTCCTCAATTCTTTTCCTCATACATTCAGGACACCCCCACTCGCTCCCACCTGACAGTCCCAACGACCACACCTACCCCGACTGAAGGCCTCCCAAACTTGACAAAACTGTCCACAGGATCTGACCTGAGAACCTCAAGGTTCCTATCCCCCACCCAGGTGAGGGCTCATTTCCCCGCCCCCAACCGCCTTGAAAAACGTATACACATTATAATACTGTCCAGAGATGGCCCAAACCTCCTGTCTCAACATCCCCACTTTATCTGGGACGTCCTCGTCCCATCCCCGCCCCGCCACCCACCCGGAGGCCCATCCCACACACCCTCCAGACGGGTCTTCCAAGAATGGGGTGCAACTGCGGGGAGCACGAGGTGGCGCGTGCGAGCGCCGCGGGATCCGAGACGCGGGCCAGGTGGCCGGCGCTGTGCCCGTAGTGCGACGCGTACCCACGTAGGCGCGCGTGGCGGAGGGGCGTTTGGGTGGTGGGGGCGAGACCTGGAACCTGTCTCCTCACCTACTGGGAGCCCCTTACCTCCCTCCGCGCGACCGCAGCTCCACTCGGCTCCGGCTCCTACGGCTCCGCCACTCATCGGCGTTCCGCGCCCGCTCGGAATATATACCCTCATCCGGGGCGCCTCTCTCGCCGCTCTGAGTGGCTGCCGGTGCGGGGAGGAGCGGAAGCCGACCGCCCTGACACGTCAACGGCGTGAGCGCAAGCCTCGAGGCGGGCACCGAGAGGGGCGCGGCGCGAGGCGGGGCCTCTTCGCGTCATTCACTCTCTGGCCCAATAGGGAGGCCCCGGGCGTCCTGTCAGTAGGACTAGCCGGGGGCGGGGTCAATTGCGTCCGCTCTCTGGGGCCCGGCCAGACGACCCGGGGCAGTGAGCCAGTATCTCTTAGTCGTCCCTTTGGCCCAGAGCCGCGGGGCGCACACCCTGTCCAGAAGCGGATCAGAGTTGGGCGGAGAGTTGTATCTCTGCAGGGCAGATTTCCGGACACCCACGCAGACGGTTGAGAAAGGACCACCGATTTCTCCGGAAAAACTTCCAGGGCGGGCCTGGGGCGCCCTCTGACCTTGGGCTAGTTATTTCGTCTCAGGTTCGCTAGATACCTGGGCGGGACCCCAACTTCGTCAGGGGTGTTTTTGAGTCCCAAGCTGGTGAAGCCAGGCCGCTTTCCTTTTGCAGAACCAGACTTGAAAGAAATGCCAAGAAAAGATATTAGGTAACCTAAGATAGCAGTGAGCTTGCCAGTGAGAGGGAGCCCGGGGTCACCCTAAGGTGCCGGTGGATTTAACCTCGCTGGCCACTAAGATGGTGATTGAATGACCTCCGGGGCCATTCAAGGGCGGATGTTTAACAGTCCTGTTACACAACCTTTTGCGGGTATGCAGATACAGGTTATATATTAAGCCCTCTGTCCTTGAAAGTTGTGTTTGCATTTAAAGTTGTGTTTCATTTTTCAGTTTTTGTAAGAAGTCCAATATGAAATATCAAAAGCACCTAGATTTAACATAGGGCTCCTCATAGGGAAATTCAGGCATATTTAGGTGCCTTCCATATTAGTAGGTTTCCTGTTTTAACTTTTTTCTTCTTGCATGTTTTCTATGAGAATTTTAGTGTCAATTTTTCCAGTTTGTAACTTAACCAGGGGTTGTCATTTATAAATTAATTTTCCATTTGATAATTATTCTTGTGATTTTCAGGAATCACAAAAAATTGTAAAAACAATTGTCCAAACACAAAAGTAAATCTTTAACCAACAGAGCACACGGCTCTGGAGGAAACGGATCAAGGAAGGGTGTGATAGCCAAAGAGTACATTTACCCTCTGGTATCCAGTCAGAATGCCAGGTCACCCAAGAAGCTGTAAATGTCACCATCAGTTCTGTTTATGGTGGCAGCTGTGCTGCCTTAGGACAGGAATAATGATAGGGAAGTGTTTTTCAGACTTCTAGTTGAAAACAGGTTTAGCCGGACTTGGAAGCAAACACCTGTAATCCCAGAGACTCTGGGGTTTAAGACAGGAGGATCATAAGTTCCAGGCAAGCCTCAGCAATTTAGAGAGACCCTGCCTCAAAAGTGTGGGGGTGATTGATGCTGGGGGAGTAGCTCAGTGGTAGGGCACCCCTGAGTCCAATCCCAAATTGGAAGGAGGGAAGGAAACACTAAGATTTAAGGATTAAATGAAGAGCACGAAACCTGTATGCATTGGAGGTTACTTGGAATCTCTTGATATTCATATATGGATACCCCTGAGGTTAAACTATTAAGAGCAAACTGCCACACTTTCTAGGTGATATAATCTCACCATGGGGAATCAAAAGATTCTGTGTCCTCAAGGAATTTATAGGAGAGATGTTCATTTTTAAAGATAAAGGACCATAAAAGTGCCACAGCAAATGCACAAATAGAGGAATTCAGAGGAGTGAGAGAATAAAAGAATGAAGAAGTTTCCCCAAAGGACAGGCCAATAGGAGAAGAGGTGGGAGGTGTAAGGGACATCTTCACAAGAGGCTGCCCTTTGATGCTTAGCCTTGGAGGCTTTTATGTTTTCCCACTGGTAACACCATCACCTTTTCTTCTTCTTCTTCTTCTTTTTTTTTTTTTTTGGATTGGGAATTGAAACAGGAGTGTTTTACCACTGAGCTACATCTCCAATTCTTTTTGATTTTTTATTTGGAGACAGTGTTTCACTAAATTGCTTAGGGTGGCCTCAAACTTGCAAGTGTCCTACCTCAGCTTTTGAGTCTCTGGGATTACAGGAGTGCACCACCACACCCAGCCCATCATCTTCTCTAACCCCTGCTGACTACTTAGTGAAAAAGTCCAAGAAATTTTTCATACATGAAGAATTTAGGAAGTGATGTATCCACCTACATGGTGCTACTCAGTACACTGTGAAATTTTAAGCATCAGAAGTGACTTTACCAAAAGGTATGTATTTTTAGTAACATATCTCATCTTTATTTAAAAAAAAGATAATTCTTTCATTTGTTAGATGAGTGGATGGACAGAGAAATAAGTAGAGAGATTAGGAAGATGGACATCGTGAGATCTGGAAGAAAAATCACATGAGTTCTTTGATGTCAGTTTCCTTACCCACAATAATTGAGATGATAATATGTGCAGAATTTGAAAAGAGGAATGAGAAAGGCTCAGCTCATAGTAGCAGCTATTCAATAAATGTTAGGTGAGTTAAAAAAGAGAGGGATAGAAAAAAAGCTAAATGGAATAGAAGTATATGGAACACAAGCAGAGATGTTTTAAATGGACCATTATTGTGAAGAAATTTTAAAATGTAGACAGTCATACAATAGTAGGTTTTTATTTTTTGTCTTTTAGGTACAATGGGATTTTGGTGGTTTTTATATTCTTTTGGATGCTTTTGGGAAATAAGTTCTGAATCTGCTAAAGTGGAAATTAATTTTAGAAAAGCAAATGTGTTACTTAACAACTAAAACAGCTGTTTGCTTGAATGATTTTCCCTACAGTTGTGTCAGAGAGGTGCCAGTCAGCCCACAATTTCTTGCTTTGTACATTTTTCAAACAGTAGGCTAGTAACTGGTGAGGCCACACCAGGAGTTTTCCCTGCATTGTCTTGAATGTAACAGCCTTAGCTAGACCAGTGAACTTCTAAAGACACTTATTTCCCAGCAGAGTATAGGAGGCACCAAGAGAGTCTAGTTCTGCTCAAGGCTCTGTTCAAGGCAAGGCCTGAGCATTCATGAGATCACTGTTTCCAAGAAGCTGCAAATGGGTGGTGCAAAGGTTAGTATTTTGACTTTTCTGTTGACAGTTTCCTAGGACATGAGTAGTTCTTTTTCTCAGGAGACATATTGACCTAGCTCACTCCTCCTCCCACACTCTAAATTTTCTGTAACTCAGAATATGTTTTGAAATACTGTGAAGTGATGAATACACCCTGTTAAATGTCAAATTTTTTATTCAGTATTTTCCACACCCTTTAAAATTTTTGCAATCTCTCAAAGGCTTTTGAGCTAGAAAAATCGGAGAGGTCTTTGTACATCTACAGAGTGTGGGATCTTGGGGTGATAGAAAGATGAATAAATGTACAATCCCTCAAAACTGAGTATAACCAAATAAGTACATAAATAATGAAGAAATAGACTGGAGAGAGTGGATAAGAGAGTGTTGATATGCTATAATTAAAAGAAATTAATTCCTCAGCTGCAAGAATCCACATTGAGAAATGGTTTTTACCATGTGGAAGAGTGAACTATAAATTCCTTTTCAGTGCTGTTGGCTAGACATTATTATCTGGTTTACTTCCCTTAATTAGTAGACACATTAACTAGAAGTAAATGGTTTACTTAAGAACAATATAGGTAGGAAGATGCAAAAGCAAGATTAGTAGTTAAGAGCTGGGGATTTAGCTCAGCAGAAGAACATTTGTCTGGTATATGGCAAGGCTGTGTGCTCAGTTCCTAGCATCACACACACATAAAAGAAAAAAAGTCAATCTATTGCTATGTACCGGAGTTTCTCTGGAGGTAATGAGTGTAAAAATAATCCAGTAATTAAAAACTTCAATCACCATAACCATTCCAATATATTTACTTCTTTTAAAACTAAATTGCTCATTACCATTATGAGTCCTAGGTCAAATGTTGAATACCTCCTCTTGGGAACCCACTTGGCTGGATCTTTCTAATGGAGGGAGCCTTACAGTGATACTATCTCTAGAGGAGATTCCACGGAAACTTAGCCTACAATGACCTCTGACCTACAGTGAAACCAGAATGGCCACATACCCTGTTCCAAACCTGCCTCCCCACCTTTCTGGTCTTCCTTCAGCCACTGATCTCTGCTTGGCTGGATGACCTTCCATAATGCAATTTCTCAGAGGTGGACTATTTCCCATAATATGCTTTCTCAGTTCTACTGTAAGTACAATATGTTTGGATTTATTGTGCATTTTACCTCTTATATTTTTCAACTCAACATGAATGACATTTAAAAGGGATATAGCAAGATATTTTTGTTGGAGAATATCTCCTGGTCACCTATTGCTCTTTATGAATCTATGACAGATTACTTACTTTATATTTTACAGATAATATCTTCAAATAATAAAAAGATAAAAATCAGATATTATACCTAAGAAATCTTAACATTAGCAAGAAATTCCTCAGTAGATTCTGTTTCAGGCCCCATATCTCCCCTTGGTCTGTACTACTTAATATTGATGGAAGAAAGAATCAGTGTTTTAATGTCTCTCTGGCAGTACCAGGTAGCTTGGCATCAAAACTGAATTACAAAAGTGTGGTCTCAAAACTTACTTGGGGTCTCAGAATTTCTGGTAATTATTTCCTGTATCCCTAGCAGCATTTATTTATTTATGTAATGTGTCCAAGACAACTTAACATAGTAGGTGAGAACATGAAGTCTGATGCCAGACAGCATGAGTTTGAATGTTGGTTCTGCAGTTACTAGTTAAACAGCCTTCAATAAGAACATTTTTTAAAACTTATTTTTAAATACTTGGGTGTTAGACCAGGACGCAAGAAAAGACCACTGACTCCAATTAAAATCAAATTAAAGCAAGCTTATTATTTCGACCGGCCAGGCTGCCTCTCCCTCCCAAAACCGTGGGAACAAGACAGCCACCCCAGCTTTCCTGCAGCCC